CCGGCTATTTTTTTTTTTGGTTGCAACTGTCGTTGTTGTTTGGTGGGCCCAGGCTGGATTCAAACTCGCCACCTTAGGTATATGTGGCTGGTACCTTAGCCACTTGAGCCACAGGCGTCGAGCCACCTGAATTTATTCTTTTCAGTGCAGTGGGTTGTACTGTGTGGGTTTATCCTCTTCCTTTAAAAAAAAATGATATAACTCCTGTGGTTACGACCTCCCTTGGCTCTCTGTTGATTATAAGGAATGAAAGGAGATGAGATTGGCTCAGTGCCTGTAGCATAGTGGTTATGGTGCTGGCCACATGCACCTAGGGTGGCTGGTTTGAATCTGTTGCTGGGCCAGCTAAACAACAATGACAACTGCAACAAAAAATAGCCAGGTGTTGTGGTGGGCACCTGTAGTGCCAGCTACTTCAGAGGCTGAGGCAATAGAATCACTTAAGCCCAAGAGTTTGAGGTTTCTGTGAGCTGTGGCACTATGACACTCTACCAAGGGTAACATAATGAAACTCTATCTAAAAAAAAAAGGAGATGAAATTCACATTCATTGGATGTCCAGTATTATGAGTTAGGCATACTTCACCCACATTATAAACTAAATGGCCTCATTTTTACTAATGAGGAAACTGAGGCTTAACACAGTTAAATAACTCTTCCATAGACATGCAGAAGAAAGTGGAGGTGCTGGAAGTCAAGCCAGAGTTGTTCAATTTTTCCATTATTTTCCATCATGTCTATTGTTCCCGTGGGGATAGGAGTATGTTACAGTCGATTGGGGAACCTTTTCAAAATACATTTGCTGTTATTACAACAGTCTGAAACTTTTTGAGGAAAGGCAACTAAATTAGTAGAAATAAATGGACAGTCAAAAAACATGTATATTTATGGAAATAAATAGTAAAATATATATATATATATAGCTAAAGTGTAACTGCTGGTCCTGGGATTAGAACCAAGACTAGGATGTTCTTTTTCATTCTTTATCCAGGAAAACGGTGGCGTGATTATTGTGAAAACCCATCTGTATCTTATAGTGGCAACTTACAACGAATCCATGTTTCCTAGTGTCTGTGTGGAAGCCACAGAGAAGCTAGGTGAGTTTGCCTCCCAACACCTGTGTTCATTTCCTATGTTAGTCGGGCCTTCTGACTACAAGTCAGAGAGATCCATCTCAAATCAGCTAGGGCAGAAAAGAATTTATTGGAGGGACAGTGGAGTTACTAACAGAACCACTGGAAGGACAGAGTGTAGCTGAGCCACAGGGAAAGCAGATTCCAAGAACTGGAACACTGCTAGGACTCTGTCTTGTCTCAATGTCTGGGTCAACTTCATTCTGTCCCATTACAAACTGCTTCCTTGCCTGCATGGGATGGATCATGGCCAAGCCTCCCATCCTACTCCTTCATGTTTCAATTTTTTTGTTGTTGAGATGGGGTCTTGCTTTGTTGCCTGGGGCTAAAGTGCACTGGCATCATCATAGCAACCTCACACTCCTGGGCTCAGGTGATCCTCCAGCGTCAGCCTCCTAGAATCCTCCAGTTACAGGCGTGAGCCACCATGCCCAGCAAAGAATTTTGTCTTAGTCATCCTCCTGTATCCAGTACCTAACACAGTGCCTAATGTTGAATAGCCAATTAATACAGGTTTGAGGAACAATTAAATTAATTGCTTCTGTCCAGTAGAGTCAGAGAAGGGTCCAGAGAGCTGAATCTTAAAGGATTAATTGAGAAATTAACTACTATCACAGAAATTATATATCGAAATATATAATTATATATAAAACAAAATACCTCATTTTACTGCATTTTGTTTTATTGAGCTCTGCAGATGTTACTTTTTTTTTTTTTGAGACAGAGCCTCAAGCTGTCGCCCTGGGTAGAGTGCAGTGGCATTACAGCTCACAGCAACCTCCAACTCCTGGGCTCAAGCGAGTCTCCTGCCTCCACCTCCCAAGTAGCTGGGACCACAGGCGCCCACCACAACGCCCGGCCATTTTTTGGTTGCAGCCGTCATTGTTGTTTGGCGGGTCCGGGCTGGGGATTCGAACCCGCCACTTAGGTGTACGTGGCTGGCGCCATAGCCGGTTGAGCCACAGGCGCTGAGCCTACTTTTTTTTTTTTTTACAAATTAAAGGTTTGTAACAACCTTGTGTCAAGCAAGTCCATCAGCACCATTTTTTTTTTTTTTTTTGAGACAGAGTCTTACCTTGTCATCTTCAGTAGAGTGCCAGGGTGTCACAGTTCACAGCAACCTCAAACTCTTAGGCTCAAGCAATTCTCTTGCCTCAGCCTCCTGAGTAGCAGGGACTATAGGGGCCCGCCACAACACCCAGTGATTTTTAGAGACAGTGTCTTGCTATTGCTCAGCCTTGTCTCAAACTCAGTGCCATTTTTTAAATAGCTATGTCACATTTTGGTAATTCTTACAATATTTCAAATTTTTTCTTATTATTATATGTGTTATGATGATCTGTGATCAGGGATCTTTGATGTTATTATTATAATTGTTTGGGGTTTTTTGTCACTAACTCAATGGCAAACTACTGTAATCATTTTGGGGCACCACAAACTATGCCAACATAGGACAGTGAGTTTAGTCAATAAATGTTGTGTAAGTTCTGACTGTACCACCAACCATCCTTCTCCTCACCCCCAGTCTCTTTCCCTCTTCTTGAGCCTCTCTTATTTCGTGCGACACAATATTGTAATTAGGCCAATTAATAAGCCTACAATTTTTTAGAGACGGAGTCTCACACTTGCTCAGGCTGGTCTCAAACCTGTGAGCTCAGGCAATCTACCCACTCAGCCTCCCAGAGTGTTGGGGTTACAGGTGTGAGCCACCTCACCCTGCCCAGCTGATGATTGTAAATTGAAGTCAGTGCTTATTTACCACTCTGAAAATCCCAGGACCCTTAAAAATTACACTAAATCTCCTCTGCCTGTGTTCTATCCATGCAACAACAAAGCTGGATTATAGCTCATCTCTTTTTGCATGGGGTACTGAATATTTATTTTAAGTCCTCTGTTGAGACCTACTGCTCAGGAAGAAAAGATACCTTTCAGAATAGTATTATTCATTGATAATGCACCTGGTCACCCAAGAGTTCTGATGGAGATACCCAAAGAATTTAATGATGTTTTCATGCTTGCTAACACAAAATCTATTCTGTCTGCAGCCCAGGCTTCAAGACATAATTTTGACTTTCAAGTCTTCTTATTTAAGAAATACATTTTTGAGCGGCGCCCATGGCTCAGTGGGTAGGGCACTGGCCGAATATACCCAGGCTGGACAGTTCAGACGCACCCTGGGCCAGCTAAAGAACAATGGCAACAACAAAAATAGCTGGGCGTTGGTGACAGGCACCTGTATGCCCAGCTACTTGGGAGGCTGAGGCAAGAGAATAGCTTAAGCCCAAGAGTTGGTGGTTGCTATGAACTGTGACGCCATGGCACTCTCCCGAGGTTAAGGGTGACATAAGTAAGACTCTGTCTCCAAAAAAAAAAAAAAAACCGACTGGCTCTAGCTCAGTGGTTCCTTCCTTTGTATAGTGCAACTTTGTTTCACTAAAGGCGCTGGGGTTAGAGCTCCACAAGCATGGTGGCTCACTCATGTAATGCTAACAATCTGGGATACCAAAGTGAGATCTCTTGAGCTTAGGAGTTTGAGGCCAGCCTAAGAAAGAGCAAGACCCACCTCTTCTGAAAATAGAAAAATCAACCAGGTGTGGTAATGGGCACCTGTAGACCTAGCTACTGGAGAGGCTGAGGCAGGAGGATCACTTGAACCCAGAAGTTCAAGGTTGCTGTGAGCTACGCTGATGCCATGGTTCTTTAAGTGGGCAACAGAGTGAGACTCTGTCTAAAAAAAAAAAGAAAGGAAGAAAGGGAAGGAAGGAAGGAAGGGAGGGAGGGAGGGAAATACATTTTGTAAGGCTATAGCTGCCAAAAGTTTGGAAAGATATGTCAATTTTGTTTGTCTTTTCAAAAAATCAAGTTTTTGTTTCATTGATCTTTTGTATTTTTTGTTTCAATTATATGTATTTCTGCTCTGATTTTTATTATATTAAATCTTTTTTTTTTCTTTTTTGGCAGTTTTTGGGTGGGGCCAGGTTTGAACCTATCACCTCTGGTACATGGGGCCGGTGCCCAACTCCTTTGAGCCACAGGCACCACCCTTATATTAAATTTTTTTTTTTTTGAGACAGTCTCAAGCTGTTACCCTGGGTAGAGTGCCATGGCAACATAGCTCACAGCAACCTGGAACTCAGGTTCAAGTGATTCTCTTGTCTCCATTTTTCTGTTTTTAGTAGAGACAAAGTTTTGCTTTTTGCTCAGGCTGGTCTCCAACTCATGAGCTGAAGCAATCCACCTGCCTCAGCCTCCCAGAGTGCTAGGATTACAGGTATGAGCCACTGTGCCTGGCCTTCCTATATTAATTTTGGTTTTTGTTTGGGAGGCTAAGGCAAGAGAATTGCTTAAGCCCAATAGTTTGAAGTTGCTATGAGCTATGACACCATTGCACTCTACTGAGGGTGACAAAGTGAGACTCTGTCTCAAAAAAAAAATTGTTTTTTTGTTTTCGTTTGCTCTTTTTCTTTCCTAGTTCTTTGAGATGTCATCAGGTTATTTAAAGCTTTTCTCCTTTTTTGATGTAGGCACCTATGACTGTGAATTTTACTCTTATTACTGCTTTTTCTGTATCCCATAGATTTTGATACATTGTGTTTTCATTTTCTTTTTTTTTTTTGAGACAGAGCCTCAAGCTGTCCCCCTGGGCAGAGTGCCGTGGCATTACAGCTCACAGCAACCTCCAACTCCTGGGCTC